ATTTCAGTGATATATCGGCAGGTAGATATGTCACATAAAAACGTTCCGATATAACGCTATCTGATAGTTCAATGATATTTGGCGCGTATCTGCGGCATATCGGACTGGCGAATATTGACTCGTTTCTTGTAGCTACATATAAAGTATCTTATAAGCCAATATTTATACGATATTTCTAAAATATCTGCAAAATATATGAGACATGTCTTCAAAAAATGGTTAAATATCTGAAGATTTATGTGACATATATAACTAATATAATTTTGTAGATATCTATATATTTTGTCTGCGAAACTAATCAAAACTTTATGATATTTATATATTTGCAAGGTTTATAAGACATATCTATAAAATATCTGAAGGTTTATGCAATATATCTTACTAATATAATCTCATTAATATTTATATATATTGTCTTTAAAACTAGTTAATACTTTATGATATTTACATACACCTCTAAATTTCTACTCAATTTATGTGAAATATATGCTTGTTGATAGCAGCATTAATATTACCAATTTATTAATTTTATTATTTTATATGGCAGAAGAAATGCATTATTACATTATTGTCCCTCACCAATATTATCATCATCATTAGCATTACCTTCCTTATTTATTTGATTACAGAGGTAACCAAATTTACCATTTTTAGCATTATTGCGGCCTTGATGCTTGAATTTATTCTGGGAGAAACTTTATACTTGACGTGCTTAGGAGTATCAGAGCTCTGTGAAGTTGAACTTGAGCAAGTATTCTTGGATTTAGAGGTCCGGGATGATGAATTTATTTGAAGTGGACTCTGCATTATTTGAGTAAATATTTTTGAATTTAGTAACTCAAGAAAATGGGCGAGCTTTACATTGTTTGATTCAGATTTAGAATAGTATTTAATAGTTTAGTAAATCTTTAAAATGTATTATTAATAAATGCATAAATACATATCTTTGTTTATTTGGTTTTGTTCATTCTGTTCATTCTATTTGTTCTGTTTGATCCATTTGCTTTGTTTAATCCATTCGTTCAGTTTGATCTGTTTGTTCCGGTCATTCAAATCATTCAGTTTGATTGGATCATTCAGTTTGGTCAGATCATTCAGTTTGATCAGATCATTTCACTCATTTAGATCATTCAGTTTGTTTTGTGGAATTGTTTTGTTTAGAATCGTTAGGTTCAAGATTATTAGATTCTAAATCAGAGTCATCAGATAATTCAAAGAAATCATTATTATTATTATTATTATTATTATTATAAGATGATGAAATCGTTCAAAGAGGTGCATCAAGTAGAGGTCTTGTCTTATTTTTCTAGTGGTGATTATAATGTAATTCTCTTGCAAGTTTATTTGATTGATTGATTAATACAACTTCTTCAGCCCAATAGAAGATTTTTTGGTACTAGTTGAAATAAAAAGTAGAATTAACTAATACGATTATTATTTAAAAAAAAATTAAAAATCTATCCATTAAATTACCCTTTTAGATTACCATGGTGAAATATATACTTTAACTACATGGTTTTTATTTATTTGTCAACCATAATCATCTTCAACTTCAGTATATAAACTTTTTTTGTTTTTTTCCTTCTTTGCGAGTTTGATATCCATTTCAAATAGTTCATCTGAATGATATGCAGTTTCAACAACCACTTTGGCAAGATCATTCTCTATTTCTTTTTAAGGCTTGAGTGAGTTGGTTTTGTTTTGCTAAG